GTTCAGAGGTAAAAATGAGGATTGGGACTACGTTTTCTCAATTTTAACATGACCTCACTGGTCTATGCTGTTTTCTGATTGTTCTCACATGGTTCCAGTCCCATAGATCACCTCCCCAGCATTTAGAGGCTGCTTAGTTTCATTTATTACTTGTCAGATCTTTCTGGTTCTTTTTTCTATATCTTGTGTTGCACTTTTCTTGACGTTGGTGAAAATATACGAATACGCAACACTATAAATTTTGTAAAAATAAATGAAATGAGAGAAAGAAGAGATACCAATTACAACAACATAAACAATCATGCAGAACTTAAGGGACTATTTTTAAAACTCTTTGAAGCAGTGCTTTGTATGCACATGGAAGGCTCAGAAACAATTTCCATGTAATGACTAACTGCTCAGCTTTCGCATGTTTGTCCTGATTACTCTTGCTTCCGCACCACTGCTCTAATTAAACACGTTCCACTGCGATTATAGCATTTCATTATTCCATGAAAAGCAACATAGTATGAAATTAACTGTTTTAATGAGAAAATAAAGGAGTGACTTCAAATAAATGGTTAAATTGAGGGACATCCAAGACATAAATACGGAGTAATTATAAGGAGTCTCTTTTTAAATCAATTTCTCCATGAAGATTTTTTTATTTTTTTTACTCCAGCCTGCAAATTACAAATTATCTATAGTGTTAAGATTGGTTCCAAAGCTAAAGTCTTGCTTCCTGCATCGTGTGAACCTTTCATTAGACTTCCTCTAGCAATTACTGCAGGAGAGCTGGATTCTCTAAATGTTGCGGTTCTATGGAATTGCCAGATGTAGCCATCAAAACATGATCCATGCTGTTGCTGCAGAGATGAATTAGCATAAAAACCGACATGATGTGGGACGTTAATGCTCTCAGTCAATACCTCAAAACATCACTTAACCCAGATATAGTAGTTAAGAACATGAACAACATGATTTACTCATTATTAGGTTTTTTTATGTATGAAATTTCTACTTTACTCCTTGACATTTTTAGGAATATGAACAAAAATTTTATAAAAAAAGCCATGCGATACATTTTCATGAGAAAATAATAAATAATAAATGACTACTGACATTGAAAAGGGTCAGCTAATTAATTATAGATCAGGCCATAAATTTCTCAGCAACAGATTACGGTAGCAAGTAACGAGAAATATGAAAGGGGAGGAGTACAGTACTTCCAAGCCCAGACGGAATAAACTTAATGTACCATTCTTCTGAACTGAGCCAGGTGAAATGATGGTAAAAAGGTTTACGTAGCTGATTGGTGGTGTTGATTGACAAGTAATGAACTGCCACTGCCTATTTAGATAGGGTCTATTCAGACAGTCATACCTAAAGCTGAAATCCTCTAACAAAAGCCTGAAGGTCTAATTGTTTGACAATAGAACTGTTCCCATGACTGTGGAGATCCAAGTTTGGGTAGACTGTGGCATTGAGTCCCTCACAGCAGTTCTGTTTACATTCAGTGATTTCAAGGTTGCTTTTACTTTGGTAATGTCAATTACCGGTACCCATTTATCTGAAGGTCTTTTGCCCCAACTGGTGGCAACTACTACTTGGACAGTTGGGCCTCCAGCCTATGTTGTACTCTGATATTCAACATTGGGGACAAGGTCTCCCCTTTTTTTTTTATTTTATATACTCTAATAATGCGCCGTCCGGGGAGCAGTGTGCGGTTAAGGGTCTTGCCCAGAGTGGCAGTGGGGGGATCAAACTCCCTATCTCAGGATTCAAACCCCTATGTCCTAACCACTAGGCCGCCACTCCCCCTTTATAGCCTCACTGTTAGTCAAGCATCCATGACTGAAAAGAGGTCGGAGACATTTCCTGTCAGTTGGTTATTGCATTGCTTACACCTTTTGCCGCCCAGCATCTTACATTGGTTCTTTTGTCCTGTATGAACTGCAGACCCCTAGTTGGGTTCAGCTAGCGGTTAGTAGGGTGTGAGGATAAAAATCGATTTAGTAATACTGTATACAGTAAACCCTCGTTATGTGGTTCACCTTTCATGGCCTTGCTGCTTTGCAGATTTGCATTGTGCATTATGTCATGCATTCTGATTGGCTAAACAGTCTCCATGCTTCTTCTCTACCTGTGTGCCAATAATGTTACGATTTTATATTTTATTATACATGTATGCCGCCAAAACCCATAATGTCGACAAAACGTCCTGCACAGACAAAGGCACTTGTGGACGGGCCAAAAAGGAAGAAGAAAAAGCTAACTTTAACTTCTGGACATGCTAAAGGAGGGTAAAAGCTATGCGGCTGAAGGTCGCCATTATGGAATCAAATAATATTCTGTTTGTTCTATAAAGAAGGAGGAAAATAATATAAGGACGACAGCAGCAAAACGTTTTAATAAGGATGCAAAAATGGTTGCAGTTGTCCGCAACTAGACCATGGTAAGGATGGAGTCTGCATTAGCTCTGTGGATTAATGACTGCAGAAAAAAGAACATTACACTGGATACGAAAGTTATCTGCACAAAAGTTGGAGCTCTGCATCAAACTTACAGTGATTTAGATAAAATATATATATATATATATATATATATATATATATATATATATATATATATATATATATATATATATATATTTACCATATCTGTAGTTGAGGCAGTCACAGTGGAAAACATGGACTGACATGGATACAAATATAACGTGATTATTAATATCTTCTGATGAACCTTTACAGGGCGTTATTTTTTATTTAGAACATTTATTTTGATAGCTGGGAAAAATATTGCAATATATAGTGTTAAATGAGGAAGTTATGTCCCCTCTAAGGCAGTTGCGCCTTGGGAATTCCCCACCGGTTCTTTTCCTGGGAGCAAGTTGCTTACTACTCTTAACTCAAACTGGGTAAAACAATGTAAAAAGGACTATAAAAAACAGGAGTCAAAAAGTAACAGAGTTTATTCCAGATCAGGTCGTTACAGGACAGAGAAAATGCTTGGAGCTTGCACAGCTGTGGGCTCAAAAAACGTCAGCGAGCATCCGGCAAAGATTGAGCCCCAAACAAGGTCATCTCCTGCTTCTTATACCTTATGTGTCTATGTGTTGCATCAGGTGGATGCTTAGCTGTCCGTATCAGAAACTGACCCGCCATCAATGCCCTGACCTATATGCGTCTTGCCTATATGCCTTACCCCAGGCTCACACCGACTCCGGTCTTACCGTTGCGGTGCGGTGGGTGCGGCGCCGCAGTGATTCCAAGTCATTGAAAAGACGTAAACCTCTCTCACCGGCTGCTGAGCTGTCCGGCTGCGGTTACCGAGACACTCCGGCGCTGCAGAAAATTCCGCAAGAAAGCTATCCTTGCGGCGTGCCGGAGCCCTCCGCAACAAGCTCTCGCAAAAATCCTTTATTTGGGCCGTGTTATCGCGTGAAGTTACGTGAACTCAAGTGAACTTCTGTTAAATCTCCGGACCTGTTGCCGGAGCCGCAGAGCCGCACCGCACCGTAGTCAAAAGGGCGGTGTGAGAGGGGGTGTGCGGGAGTTGCGGTCTCCGTCGGCTCGGTAACCGCACCGGAGCCAGTGTGAGCAAGGGGTCAGGATTAGAGATAGCTCTCCTTTATCAGTCGGGCTCCAAGATGTGCCCATATCCTGTGTATTTTTAAAGACACTGATAATATTATAGTGTTGCCCTGTGATGGACTGGCGGCCTGTCCAGGGTGTACCCCGCCTCTCGCCCATTGACTCCTGGAGATAGGCACCAGCACCCCTCGCGACCCCACTCGGGACAAGCATGTAAGAAAATGGATGGATGGATGGATGATAATGTTGTATTGTGACCCAAGTATCGTGACATATATTTCGTATTGCAACACCCATGCCAATACTCACCCTTAGCCTTTAGGGAGAACTCTTAATGTCTTTTCTACTTTTATGGTAATTCTGTCTGGATCGCATTGGATCTATGCTGGCTGAGTTATTAGGGAAGCCTTTATGGGCTGTCTTCTTTACTCCGTGCAAGAGTTGAGTCCCCATTTTTTGGCACAGCCTTGAGCAGTCTTTCAGTGTGGTATGGACCTAACCTGGGCTATTATGCATTTCCATTTTACCTGTGGTTTACATAGACAGAAGCTCAAGACTTGATGACGGTGAAGAGGGAATCCAGGTATTTTCTTTACTGTCTCAGATGCTGTGGTCCTTTTCTCCCTTCAGACTTGTTTTTTTTTTCAACAAGACAAATGCTCAAATATTCAAACATCTTGGTGTCTTTATGAATTAAGGCTTCATCTCCAGTAATGTGGGCGCCACACTCTCACCGTTTCCACGCATGTCCCACCTGTATGTTTCCACTGGGCAAATATAGAACTTGCATGGCTATATATATCTAGCTAGGTAAGACATTTTCAGGTTGCCCAGTTACCAGATATCCTTACAAGTGGAAGATATATGCGACACATTGAAGATCCTGAAGCTTTGTCTTCAGTGATAGCTGTGTTTTGGTTTTAGGCATTGGAATGGAGCTCAGCGGGAAAAGAGCTTGACTAACGATCCAGACGGTTGAAAGTTTAACTCCAGATGCCGACGCCAACACATTTGCTTAATGACCTGTGCCGCGCATGAATGTGTGAGCATTGTGAGTGGGACTGGGAGATTGACATGCTATTGTATTTTACTCTACACGGTTTTCTGTGATCACATGTAGGGATTTTATGGCTCTTTTAATATTTTGACAGTATTTTCCATTTCTGCTCAATCAGTTCAGCACACAGTTCAACTGTGGCTCTGGAAGGTTAGGGTTGAGTTCAACAGGAATATATCTCTCACAGTGTGTCAAAGTTAATATCTACGCTCAGAGCGTTGAATGTATGAGCCTGCAAAATCCTTGCCTGGAGCAAATTTGCATTCTGATCAAGAAATGTCTTCATATGTGGGAGGCACTGGCAAACATCCTGGTTTATGAGCTGCCCGTCAGCTGAATATGAAACAGCACATCGTTGCTATAGAAGGGTAGGCGAGCAGAGAGGAAGAAAAGGAAGGAGGGGAGAAGCTGGTTGTACATGCATTGATATTATTCAGAGCCGGAGAGAGACACAAAGGAGGGAAAACAGATTGTTGGTGTAAATGTGTTACATTTGGTGAAGCTTCAGGGAGGAGAGGCAACTGCTCCAGTGGAGAAGCTCTACAGCCTTCAAGATTCAAGAATAATCTGCAGGAGCTGGAACAACAGGAAGTCAGGGGAAACTTTGCCTCTGATCCGCCACTTCAGGATTTTTCAATGTTTCCTTGTCTGGCTGTCAGACTGAGGAGTGTTTTGTGAAAACTGACAAGCCAAGATGAACCAAACTGCATCCGTGTCGCATCAGATAGAGTGTCAGCCCATCAGAGATAGCAAGGTATGATGAATCTGTTCATGTAGCGTCTCTTGAATTGAATTTAAATGTCAAGACCTCTCACGTGTTTCGCTTGTACCGAGCTGCTGAGTGGAAAGTACTTTTCTTTTGCCTTTTCACACTCAGACTTGGCTTTAACCATGTAATGATATTTCCACTGCATTTCTGTGCTACTTAAGGGTTTTAAAAAGGTCATGACTCAGAGGAATGAAATAATTCTCTTCACCTTACATCTTGACTCTACATTAGAAGATAATTTCACCTTCTTAGCAGCTTATTTCTGTATAGATATTTTGATCCTCGTTAAGCTTTTCTTCACACCTCATTGTTTTTTCTACACTTTAAAACCCATAACACGAATTTTTTAATCAAAACTGATGATTTTTGATAGAGAAAACAATTGCCAATACAAAAATACAAACAAAAAACACTATATCCTTTTCAATGGTATGGAGTAAGTCTTGCTCCAAAGAATGTGAAGAATGTTTTTTTAAATGGAAATTAAAAACAAACACATTTTGTTAATTAAATCTGTGAAAAAGGTAATCCAGAACTTTGACAAACATTCTTTAAAAAAAAAAGGTTTTGAGAGTAACATAGCTGCTTTCTTAAATTTAGTTAAAATTAAAAATGAAATGAATTAAATACCGGTATGTATTTTTTGTCAGTAGCAAGTATTTGTATTGGACTTGAAGTGAATAGATTGTGGTCTGTGAAACCCAGATGGAAAAGAATGCAATCCGTTACACTCAATCTTAACAATCTCGAAAATGAAAAGTATTATAAAAAGGATTTTGGAAAAAAACAATACTTTTGATAATAGTATATCTGTAATAAAAATAGAAAAACAAAATATAAAACAATAGAAATTAAAACATAAAAAATTTTATGTAACAAATATTTGATATAACAAAAATTTTTAAAATAGCATGTTACTCCCAAAACCTTTTTTTGATTAATTTTTTTTTTTACCATGTTTCATTTGTGAAATGCAATTTTTTTCTTATTGTCATTTACAAAATGCGTTTTTTCACATTTGAATTTACAAAACGTCTGATTAAACCTGTTGCTGACAATACGAATCAACCCTAAAATTTAATAATTCATTTCAATTCAATTCAGTTTATTTCTATAGCACATGTCATCTCAAGGCACTTTACAGTTCCCCAGATCATACAGTCAGATTCTTTCAAAGTTTTCTATCTAAGGAAAACCAGTTGATCGCATCAACTGATTGACTCAGATGCAATCCCTCACACTAAGCATGCTTGTAGCGACAGTGGAGAGGAAAAACTCCCTTTTAGCAGGAAGAAACCTCCAGCAGAACCAGGCTCAATGTGAGCGGCCATCTGCTGAGGCCGACTGGGTTCAAGGAGACAGAAGCAGAGATACAAAAAGCAGCTGTAAAAGGCGGCCCCGTCCAGGAAACACACAGTCAGGAGAAGAGCTCTGAGCCAGCTCCCACGAAGTGCTAACAAACAGACCACCTTGTATGCTAATAGTTACTTCTGATCCAACATGTCTTTTTTGGGGTCAATTGACTATATTTAGGTTGGATCTTTACGAGTTGGATTCTATTTGGCAACAAATTCCGTCACAAACAACAACTTATATCTGCAAAACAATAAAAGGTATATATATGTTTGCTAAAGGTATAATGGAGGATGTTCTTTTTCCCGGGGGGATCTTCAAAATAAGTGGTCCCCCTATTTGTTAATCATTCTGGTGATATGTTTATGTAAGGCTGTCCTACATGCTCGTCCCCATTTTCACTGACAAATTGGACAAAATTGCAAATCTACTTTTGGAGAGTAAGCTTGTATGAGTGATGCAAACAGCAACTTTTAAACAGATCACGCAGGAGGAGAAATGGGCTCATACATGCTCTTGCACGCATAGTGCATGTGCAATTTTTTATTTTTTTTACAGTGGAGTCTTTTAAAAAGTTTGCAAAAATCCTCCACTATACCTTTAAGTCACCATGTGCAGGTCTTAGCTAGGTGTCAGGAAGAAACTCCTCCTGCAGGCGGACAAATAGTGTGCGATTTGATGGTAACCTATCATCCAATGATGTGTTCTAAAGTTATTTTTTTTTAAGGCATACAGGTGAAAATAGCCAAATTTCATTGAGTTGCCACTAAGGGGCAAAGAGGCTCAGAAGGCCTTTGGTTAACATTAGCAAATAAAAAGGTGCACAACACTGGCTGAGCGGAGTTACACTTCCATCTTATTAACAGTTTCAATCTTGGTAAAAAACTGGATTGATGCAAAAATGCGACACACTTTAATTCAAAGCTTATACCTCAATCAACAAAATGTTAGATATTTTATTATGTTCCAAGTTTGTTGTAATTACTGATAAATTTAAAATAAATGAAGAGAAAACGGATATCTGCATGCATTGATGTCTTATAGGTGAACCTTGCAAAATACAACCCTTTTAGAAAATTTTTGTTGAAAACGGGGTACACCCAACATCCTATTAGGAGTTTTATCCATCTTAAAGGATATTCTGTAAACATGAATTGTACATTTAAAGGTAAGATATTATTTTGTTTGATCACATAGTGACAGATCTTATGGTGAAAACCAGTAAAGTGTTGTTTTATGTTGTAATTTCACACGTTCACATTCATTCAAATCTTAGATTTCTGTGTGGAATTTTTTTATTTATGTCAAACTCACCCTAATGCAACAAGAAACCTTCCAAACATTCAGTTTTATAATACTCAGCTCTTTTTACTGCATAGATTTAAAAAACAGTGAATGCCAAATTATTCAAAGCGGTGGTGTTATGGAAATGAGAGCTTCGCAAAAGAGCTGCTTTAAAGCGTTGAACGGTTGAGGAGAAATGGTTTTACGCGTACGCCGGTGTGAAATGTATCTTCAAAAACACATTTTGGCAACCAAATGTTATTCAACCTGTCTTTTCAACAATAAAATATGACCTTGTGTTGACGTTGGGCAGAGACACATTGACAGCAAAGTCTGTGAGATTAAAGTGCTTTATCATTGCTTGCACTTTAAGCAAAGTGGTTCTCGAGTGTTAGCAGAGCCCTAAGAAGTGGAGGACTGACAGCAAGGCAAAGTGTAATCCTTGACAACGGTAATCTGACAGAAGGGACCCTCGATAAGGGAGGGGAAATATACAGCCTCCCAAAAAACATGTTTCTTTACTGAGTATTTCCACAGATCCAGAGCATGTTTCATTTAATGTCCTCTAGTCTTACATGCTGTAGAATGAACAGACTTTTCTGTCTTTATTATACAGAAGCTGTTAAAGTAACCGTAAAGCAGTGGCTCAGTTTCAATGGATTGCCCCAGTTAAGAACCAAACCTGTTTTGTATGAGTTGAGCATTGCAGTTTAAACTGTGCACAATTTGTTCTGTTTATACTAATTTTAAATATTGAGGCTATGCCAACAATATAGCCTAAAGTTCTCCCTAAACACTGCAAATCATTGAACTGTAATTACCTTAGGTATGCAGCCGTCTTTTACTAGCGTTTGTGAGAGAATGGGCACTCTTTCACACTCAAACCCTACCCCCTAGAGTACAAATGGGGCACAATTTCTTTGGGTATGCGGGGGGAACATCAGTACCACACTTGTGGACCGGGAACCTTTTCTGACCATTTTAAAAGACGCATTTCAATTCACAGCACTGTTTCTTCTAATACAACCGCATCTAAATAAACTTGCCTTGCATGTTGCAAATGTTTACAATGCGCTATTCAACCTTGTGGTTGGGTATTAATGTGTTCTAATAAGCGCCAATTCAATCTGAAAAACCCACATGAAGAGAAAAGACAAATAGAGAAATTTATTGATACAATTACTTTGTCTTTGGCGCTCAGACCTCGGCAGGAAACATAACACTTCATGTTGATAGATATGCATGGACAGGAGCAAAGAACAGGGCTATTTCCCCCCCAGGCCTGAAACTGGTGGTGGAGTGGAGATAGATGAAGTTGGTCAGTCTGTAGACTGCTGGTTAGAGAGACGGTCTGCTGAGCTTTATGGGGAGATCCAGCTGATACTAGAGCTTCACTCAGGGACCTGGAAGATGGAAGTCCATTTGGATAACACAGGTTGAAAGATCCTGTCCATGATGAGCAAGCATGAAGCGACAGTGGAGAGGAAAAACTCTGGCAGAACAAGGCTCAACATGGTGGTCTTCTGTCAGACTGTTTGAAATGAGACAGTGAATGCAGTAAGAGCCCAGGAGGAATGACACTGATGAAGCTTTAGCTACGATGCTCAAGGAGGGGCTGGAGGTGGTTTGAAACGGGGTTATCTGAATGAAGTCACAGCGCATCCGCCGCTGCCCAAGAGCGGATCGGAGGCCTTTTAGATGAACTTTGGATGCCGATTGCCTTTCGTGGAGGTGTGGTTCAAAGCTGATTGGCTGTGTCTTAGGTGGATGTAGGAAAGGATAGAGGAAATCAACGAGTTTCTTCAGTTGAATTTCCGCCTAGGCTCCATAAAACACGTCATCACAGCAGTCAGAGTTATCACTGGGTTTATTTTTTCCTACCAAAAAATAAAAAACATCCCCACCTGCATTTGCCGCGCCACCACTACACCAGAGAACTTAAAGCCCTTCAGTGCCAAACAACAGACAATTGTATTCCTTTTTTGATTACAAACTTCTCACTCACCTGCAGTTGTTTGTTGTTTGATGTGATGCTGTAGCTTTTCCAAACTGCAACCTGAGAGTAACGCTGCAGCTACAGAAACTCCAGGGAGCCAAAATATGCGCAGTTATAAAGATAATGTATTTATTTTTTTGAAAATCGCCCGCTGGTCAAAGTGGACTGACCAGATGCTAGGGTAGAGGCCTTTTCTTTCTGAGGTAATAGCTACAGACCTTGAAAGTTCTTCTTTTGTACAGCTTACTTCAAACAAAGAGCATAGAGAGCTTCATAACATGGCATGGCTTCCATTTAAGCCTTTCAGCGACAGGTGCAAAATGTATGGTTTAAAACAAGCTGCTACCGAACA